CATATAGTCGGCTACTCTCCATAGAAGAGGGCCGACTGGTTCCAAAGCACACAGCCACCCCCCTTATACTTAGCTAAAAAAGATTAGGGCCTGGCCGACCCTGTGCCTAAACAGGCGGCTACCCTCCTCTTACTTAACACCTACGTTCACCAAGAACTAACCAAGGCCACAAGCCAAATGATCAGACCAGGCGCCAAGCCAACTGATCCAATCTTCAAAACTAATACGACCTGTCCCAACATTATAGCAGGCGTCCGGCGGCATCCCTCCGGATGAAATTCGTCGCAGAGAGCAGCTCCCTTTTGGGTGGAACATTGATCTATAAACTAATTACACGACACCTATACGACTGTCCCCAAGGGCAACCACGTAGCCGTTTTTGAGACAAGGATAACTCTTATCACTAACCAAACCAGTGGTAGCAGTTGACATCTGAGTCAGATGACCGCCTGTATTACTTGGGATAAATGCAGGGGGTACCTCTTGAGTTAAAAGCCAACAAACATTGACGAATCAAAAGGTTCAGCCGGCCTCCGCCGCCTGGTACCTTTACTACTCAAGCAGGAGTGACGGCGACTGAGTAACTCCAAAGTTAACTCATAGTCACTCTCTCAAACTTAGTATGGAGCCTAAAAGGTATGAGTCGTCCGCCTGTATTTAGCAAACAGGGGTTCTCAACCACTACTCCTGCTAGGTTAACAACCTATGAGTTAAAAGCCAACAAACATTGGCGAATAAAGGGGAACAACCGGTACCAACCGCTTGATACCTCTACTACTCAGTTACTTGGCGACTAGGTAACAATCATGTTTACTTGGTCAAACCACTTTCCTACTTGGTTAATTTTACAAATGACAGGACCGCCTGCCTAAAGGGGATCCAGTCTTTAAAATGGTTCGAATACCGATTGGATAAATGGTTGACTGATCGTCTAGCCTGGAAACAGACAACCAGTCGTCCAGGGGCATAGGCGGCGTGACTAACTATCCGTACCTGTCTGCAACTATCGGCCATGTAAAACAGTCGGTATAGTGTACAATTGGATATCAGAATATTCAATACTTAAACAAATTTGAAGCAAAAAAAAAAATTCATTAAAAAGAAGCCGGTCATCAAAGACCGGCAAAATATTCAGAGCCCCGGCCCCCAGGCCGGGTAAATACAAAACAAACGGCACGCAGGCCGTGACAAGAAGACATAAAGCTTAAGAAGGGGGCAGATCTTCAATAATAGCAGTTGCCGCCTGGTCAGCACTCTTCTTGCTAGACTCGGCTTCAGCTGCATCCTTCTTTGATGCATTACCCCTAAGCGGCACAAGCGCCACTACCGGCTGCTCCTCCTCCTCCAACGCCTCTTCCTCAGCAGCCGCCAGGATTTCTTGATTATATGTATCAGAACACTGGCGGTACGTTTTTTCCCATGAGGCAAAGTCGGCATTAGGGAAGAGGCGGCCCCATGTCATGCGCTGGATTTGAGCAGAGTCTTCCATCATCTCCCGGACCTGCTCTTTCTTTTCTTGCTCGGCCTTTTCCGAGAGCTCCTGAGTAAGAATCTTCTCCTGGGTCACCAGGCGTACCTTTATGCTCGCCAAGGATTTCTCCAAGGTTTCGTATGAGGACATCTTTTGGCGAAGAGGTCTCAGCTCGGCCTTGAGGCTGTTGATGGTCGCCTCCAGCTCGCTATTCCTCTTCTGGTTCGCCTCTAACTGAGCCCGAATAGCGGCGGTAGCCTGCGCCTGATAATAAAGAATATCAATGGTCAGAACTTCATTTTGGGCAATTTGAAACATTGCCTTATCACAGTCAGAGGCGGCCATAGCTTTTGCAGCCTTTACCTCTTTGTTCTTCCGGTCAAGCGGCTTGCGAAGGCCGTTCACTCGGAGCAGGGCCTAAGTAAAAAGGGGAACAGGCGTCAGTTTCCAAACAAAAAAGAAAACAGGCGTCCTGGAATTCAAATACTCAAACATATGCTAAGTATACCTCAGCAAGGACCCCTGCAATCCCGTCTAGGTCAAGGGTGCCGACACCCCTGACCGCCTCTCGTTCAGCTGGAGGAACGGCCTTGATCATAGACTTGGCCACCTCGACCAAGTCAGGCTCCTGAGGGCCGGCTGCATCAAGCATAAACAAACGGATTAGACCTAGTAGAAAAGGGAGCAAGTCTAAAATTTACAAGGACAACTTCATACTTCTAGGCGGCCCAGCTGGAGTTTTAGAAGAAGTGGCCGACTGCTTCTCAGCCGCCGCATGTTTCCTGGCAGAACCAGGAGAGCTCGCAACAGTCGTCCTCCGGGCCTTGGGGTCCGGCTGTTGGGAAGAAGAAGCTCTTGGAGCGCCCGTCTAAAAAAGAAGAAGTCAGTATATGCATAAACACAACTCCAAAAAGAGGGTGAAAGGTTCGAAGCCCACCAAGGGTGCCCCCTTGTTAGGGGAGTCGGTTGAAGACTGTTGCATGATGGAGGCCCGCAACATGGCTGTCGCAGTCTTGGAGGCGGTAATTTTGCTCATACCGTCCGCTGCAAAAACAAATAGAAAAGTTAATAAGTCATAACAAGAAATGCATGGAACAACAGAGTATTCGACAAGCCGGCTACCTCTTGAGCACCGACTGCTGAGGCCACAGGCGGCCAAAAAGTACTCGTCGTAGAGCCATTTGAAGCTCTTGTTCAGCTCTGTGTGTGAACTCTCAATGATGAGGAAGGTGCTCCGCCAGTCCTTCCATTTGTTTGCTTTACCTCTCGTCATGAGGTAGCACCTGTGGCTCGTCAATTGATACCAGCCGGTACCGCCTGCCTTAGGGGTCCGGCTGAGGTAGTTAATGTGAGCGAAAGCCTTGAAGCTCGGCTCCACCCCGTGCAGTTCGCACCCGGCCACATAGCCGAGTACGTTGACCCAGGAGTTCGGGGCTAACTTCCATAACCCCAACTCATACCCATCCAAGTTCCGCTGAACAGCCGGATGTAGTGGGAAGCGTTGCCCAGCCTTGATGGCCGCCTCGTAGCAGCCAAAGCAGGCGCTATCATAACTGGTACAAGCCGGCCAGACGACTGTGTCTTCTGGATCCGGCACAAACACTAAAAAGCCGGGGCCCATTGTGTGGTTTGCGATAAAGCTCTCCACTTTCTCTTGCATGGCCGTGATCCAGCCCCGAGGTACCGTGCAGTAGTAGGGGGTATTTTGCTCTCGGTGAGAGGCAGATGGCTCCGCCTAATCGTCCCCCTTCTCCACTGCGTGAGAAGCCTCGCCTCTTGCAAGCGTCTGTTTTTCTCTTCTGTGTCCAGAGAAGCATGGCCAGAAGAGCTAGACTCGGAATCGTCCTCTGACGAGTCCGAAGAGGACGACTCCTCCCCTCTCCCGGAGGGGCCCGCCTCCTCTCCTTTAAAAGGAGCAGGAGAGAATGAAGAATTGTCAACTGTAAAATGGGAAGGGGTCACTTTGACTCCTCCCTCAGAACTACCGGCTTTCAAGCCGCTTTGTTTCACTTCCACATCTGGCGCCTGGTCAGATGTTTCACTAATCGGCACCCTGTGGGAGGAGCCGTCTGAATTTGAGATCCTGCCAGTCTTTTTTGTTCTGGCCATCATGTTCTGCATAGACACAGATACAGTCGGACTTTGAATAAAGGGCAAAGATGGGTCCAGAAAAGGGCAGGCGACACTCCTAGTCCTAGATTCAGCCGTCCCCGGTGACCGGCTGATCACTAACCTAGGTCGTGTCGTGTGCTTCCGTGGTGCCATTTCAAAAAAGAATAAAGAGAAAATTAAGAGTAAGAGAACCGACAGTTACCTGAACGAGTGACGATTGATGAAGTTCTGAAAATCCTTTGCAGTCGGCTTGTCAGAGCAGGCGGTAGGCAGAAAGAGTCCAAAATGTCAGAGCAAGTTCAGGGGTCCGAATGTTCTCTCACAAAGTTTTCAAGTGTGAAAATGACCGAAGTTAACACTCCTTTATATAGGCGAAGTGAGAAGGCGAAGGGTCACTTCCAGAATTCATAATTTGGGCGGGAGAATCTCTCGGCCTTTCGCCGATTGACACCTGTAGCAGGCCGTCGCCTGTTACAGTGCGACACCTGTCACAGGTAACACGTGACCAGTCACGTGCCACCTGTGAGGGGCAAATGATTAGGGGATTTTGCTCCCACCAATCACCATCTGACAAGTTGACCAATCAAGTTCCGCCATGTGTCCGCCACATGGGCCAATAGGAGCCTGCCACGTGTCAAGCAATGATCCGTCCACCTTGGACCAATTACGACACAACACGTGTCCTTCCCATGACACCTGGGATAACCGGTCACCTAGGCCCAACTTCCGAGGGAAGCCCAATCAGCCCAAGGTTAACCTAAATCTATATTGGCACGTTTCCCGAGGTTATAAATACCTCCCTTAATCCTCATTAAGGGGGATTACACGCAGATTACACACATTAAACACTCTCACCTAGAGAGACCCAATCACTTTAATTTCCGCATTAATTACTCCTTAATCAAGTACTAACTTGACCGTTGGAGGCGGAGCTCCCACCACCAGGAGTCTCCGTTGTTTTGCAGGTACAGGCGTCCGGTTCCAGTCTCGGAATTGTAACTCTCCCGCAGGACATCAGAAAACCCCGAAACACTTTTCATAGCCCCCATCCAGTCTTTAAACCGTCTGGGGTAATTCTGACCCAATTCACTTGATACTGTCTGGGGTATCGTGGAGTGAACTTTACAATTTAATCTAGCTAGCTTTTACAAATGTGTAATAATCTCCCAACCGGTCTTTTACTCCTCCTGGGGTTTTTGAGAGCAACTTGCTTTCTTGAATCATAACTCCACATCCGGTGTTGCACCGCATGGGGTCTTTTTGAACCTACCCACTGAATACCGTCTAGGATATCTTGGGATGAACTTCGCACATTTGTTTAGTCAGTCGTCTAGCTAACACAGGCGGATAATTCCGTCTATGGTGTCTTTGAATGAGTTTATGAATAACCGGCTAACTTGTGCTTTTGTCTTTTCAGCTTTAAACACATTCGTGGAGTTCTCTGCCTAAGGTGACTTCAAGCCAATTTTTATATACCAAGCTTCATATTCTAAGGTACCGTCTAAACCCTTTGTTATTATTTTTTTTCCTTTTATTTTCCGGCTGTGCATATAGAGTTAGGATATGGACTCCACCAATATAAACACGGCACAGCCTACGACAGTGGTCAGCCGGTCACCAGGGACGACTGAGTCTAGGACTGGGAATGTCGTCTGGGGTGCTTGGGATAACCTTCACCTTCTTCGAATCCGACCGTTTCTGTTCATGTGCAGGACAGAATGGCCCGGACTAGATGGACGGAAATAGATCCTGATTACAAGTCCGATGATGCAGCCGTTGATCCGGCTGACCCTTTAAATGAAGAGCAGACGGCGGAACCGTCTGAGAGAGTTCCAAACGAGGATACTCCGCAAGACTCCCTGGGTGTACCTAGCACCCCGGGTATACCTAGCACCCCGGGTAATAGCATTTTGGGTAGTTCTGGCTCTAATGCCGAAGAGTCCGGTGAGGGATCCGGTGAGGGATCGCATGATGAAGAGTCCGGCTCTGACGAAGAGTCTTCTAAAAAGGCTGCCCCTATTGATGAGGAAGCCTATAAATGGCCGGCTAAGGGGGATCCAACCGATATGACTATGTCCGCCAGGGATGTGGTCACTTTAAACGCCACTCTTCCTGCTTTCTTAAAGAAGAAGTCGGTTGGGGAGAAATGGGAAGTGGTTGTACCGCCTGTAGAGGCAAGCGTCGTTTGGACCGACGACGTGGACAACGCCGACAATTACTTTGGCTGTTACGAGGCCGCATTCACAGCCGGCCTCCGGTTCCCCCTCCATCACTGCGTAAAAGCCATACTAAGGGGGTATGACTTGGGTGTATGGCAGTTGACCCCCAATTCATGGGTCAACATTCTTGGATACATTGCCGCCTGCGAGTTGCAGGATGTTAGGCCAAGCTGGGAAGCTTTTGCGCACATGCACTATCTCAGTAGAGCGCCAGGTGGGTGTAATGCGTGGTATACTTTAACTATGGTCCCGGAATTTATGATGACTTTGGACAAGCCGTCCAAATGGAGTAACTGGAAGAGCAAGTTTTATGTCGTCTTTTCCCCATCCCCCCAACTTAACCACCGGCTGCGTAGATACAATAAGCATCCAGCTTTGCTGGGTAGGAAATGTGCTCTCCCAAAAGTGCAAGCTGAGGCTTGGGACCAGATAATGGACAAAGTCCTCTTTCTTAAGACAACAGCCCGGCTGGATGATGGGAGTGAAATTATAGTCCCCCAATTATGGGTTCTCCATCCGGATTGGTTTAAGGACGAGTGTTTCTTGTCTCTTTGTAATCTTAGCACTATGTTTACTAAGGGTAGGTTGCCACATGACCGAATATTTACCGGATGCATATGTTTATCAGATTTTTAACCCAGTATTTGTCCTCTTTGCCGAAGTAGATAAAGGAATGGTGCCTTCGGAGAAGAAACCTACTATATCTGCCCTTCTTCTAAGGAAGAAGCAGATTGAAGAGAAGAAGGCGGCACTGGCCGCCAAGAATGTCGGGGTAGTCTGCGTTTCCTTAGCCATTTTTCTTTGCATTGTTACTTTCTTTGCCAGATGTATTACACTTAAATGATTTCTTAACCGGATGTATTATACTTGACTGCTTTCAGGCCGGGAGCCAAGTCATTCCTCGCTCTTTAGCGAGTATGCACAAAAGACCGGCTGGAAACATACCTCAGCCGGCTTCTAAGGCACCAAAAGTGGCTGCCCCGGCTGCTTCTGGCCTACTACAGCAGGGAAGAGCCTGCAATCAATTCCCCACTTCGAAATGGTGGTGGAAGAAATAAGACTCTTACCCGATCTGAAAAAGAGGTTGTGCCGGCTGTGCACACGATCAATATTGACAGAATCACTTCTCTCCTTGCTGAGGTAATTAAACCGGATGACCTATGCTTGAGCAATGATCTTCATTTACCGGATGCAAATGTTTTGTCCTTATTTTTCTAACACTCTTCTCGCTGTGCTGGCTGTGCACACGGTCAATATTGACCGAATCACTTCTCTCCTTGCTGAGGTAATTAAACCGGATAACATATGCTTGAGCAATGAACTTTATTTACCGGATGCAAATGTTTTGTCCTTATTTTTCTAACACTCTTCTCGGTTAATATCACAGGTGATGCTTAGAGTGGATGGGATTAATGTCCCCTTGCGCAAATAGCAGGAGGAGGTAAGAGACGCTCAGAGACGTGCATCTGAGCTTATTGACGTCTGCCAATCCAATGCTCTTTCATTTGACTTTGAAACTAAACAAAAGGCGTTAGAACAGGAGGAAGCACTAAGACAAGCAGTTGCGGCTGGGGAGGCTGCAATGAAGAGAGTTGATGAGCTTGAGTTGAAGGTCAAAGACCTTCAAACAGATCTTAAAGCTCTGGAAAATGCTGATAAAGAAAATGTTGATCTTCGCAAGGACGTCAGCCGGCTGAAGGGTGAGCTTTCTTTGAATCAGGCGGCTCATAAAGAAAAGCTGGAAAAGGAGCAAGTCCGCCTGATAAAAGAGAACGAGGCCGACTGCGAGGAGCGCATGAAGCTGGCTTGGAGTCTCATTCATCCGGACTATGAGTTCGAGTACTTCAATCTCCGGTACCTGTATGCTTCTCAAGTATACAAGGCTAAGGTACTCGGTTCTGACCCTCCTCCCCTTTTTGAGGAGTGGGTCGAACGGAATACGGAGAGCCAGCCGGATGAGGTGCATCAGGAGACCCAGACTAAAAACCAGCCTGGAAAAACTGTTGTGTAGTCGGCTTAAATTCAAACAGCGCAAACTCAGCAGCCGGAGGATCAGCAACCTCAGTAGCAATCTCAGCAGCAACAACAATCATAAACCATCTTCTGTTATTATAAACAATCTTCTTTTACCGGCCTGCGAGCCGTGTAGGTATCTGTACTTTTCCCGGACATGGGTCCGGTTAACATTCATTAATTCTAATCTATTAACCAACTCAGTCGATTTTTCCTTTTACATATACTTGCATCAGTTAATGTTTTGCACTATTTCTACAAGTATTTTTGTTCTCATTTCGGCTGATACAACGGAACGCAAATAGAATGGCTGTTTGTTTATTCCAACGATAAACAAGCAGTCGTCCTATTGTCTGCCGGATAAGGCATCAAACTATACATCTATCTCATACCAGCTAATACAACAAAACAAAAAAAATAGAATGGTTGTTTATCTATCAACGGTAAACCGTCTAGGTATCCTTTGGATAAGGCCCGGTTTTCCTAACCCATATTTATTTAACGTGAGATTTTATACTTGAAGTAACATCATTCTTTTTAAATGTGTTTATCCGAAATACCTAGCCGTGTGCAATGCTTTGCTGCAAAAACCGGTTGGTGTGTTTACTAGGATTTTGATTTTTGCCGCATGGACCACTTTTTGGTATATGCCGGCTGAATCCTCGGTGCAATTGATCATTTTGAACGGTTGTTTGTTACCTACAATGATGTGTCAGTAATGTCGTTCGAGTCTTATGACCGCCAGAACAGTGTATCACCCGGAAGGGAGTTGTTCTCTTCGACAATTTCACCCGGATAGGTGTCGCCGGATGACTGCTCTTTTTGGAGCAGTGATTTTTTATAAGTGTTCTTCCATCTTTGTTTTTGCACTAGACAGGTGCTAATACAATTTGGATGAATGGAAATTATATACTTTCACATTTCAATACAATTTTCAAAAATTACAAATTCCTCAGTAGTAGCACTTTTTCAAGTTATCTACGTTCCAGGTACAAGGCAGCTACATTCCGTCTGGGATTTCCAGGCGGTAAGTGCCGTTTCTAACTTCTCCAAAAATCCGGTAGGGTCCTTCCCAATTGGGAGTTAACTTCCCTTGCTCATTCGCCCTACCGGTTGCTTCAAGCTTACGCAGTACAAAATCTCCTACTTTAAGGGGTCTTTTGCGCACCCTTTTATTGTAAGCTCTCATCATTCTCAGACGGTAGATCTCATGACATAAGACGGCATTGCCCCTTTTTTCAGGAAGAGAATCTAAAGCCAGACGCATGGCCTCCCAATTTGCGTCTTCGTCATATAGCATGATTCGAAGTGTTGGTTCATACAATTCAATGGGAAGCACCGCCTCCGTGCCGTATGCCATAAGAAATGGGGTTTCACCGGTTGACCCCTTCTCAGTCGTTCTGATAGACCAAAGAACATGGGTCAACTCCTCTGCCCAAAGACTGCCTGCTTTTTCAATCTTTTTCTTGATTCCGCCTGAGATGAGCTTGTTAAAAGCTTCTACTTGACCGTTTGCCTGGGGACGACCTACGGATGCAAAATAATGTGAAATTCCTTGGTCTTGCAACCAAGTTTTGAGGACAGGCGTTTCGAACTGCGGACCATTATCAAAGACCATTGACAAAGGAACACCGAACCGGGTGATGACATTTTTCTAGATGAAGGAGATGACATCCTTAGTTTTGATGCCCTTTACCGCTTCTACCTCAACCCACTTTTTGAAGTAATCAAGGGCTACTAAAATGTATCTTCTGCAGCTTGGGGCAGGTGTGTATGGCCCCAAAATATCCATGCCCCATTTGGAAAACGGAATAGGACTATAGATAGCCGTTAGATTAGTAGCCGGCTGACGGATTAGCCGGCCAAACCTCTGGCATTTGTCACATCTCTTTACCAGATCTAGTGCATCTGCCTTAAGAGTTGGCAAAAAGTATCCTTGCTGCCTGGCCCTCTTTGCAAGAATCTTGCCGCCAATGTGTGATCCACAGAAGCCGGCATGAAGGTCTTCTAGCACTTCCTTTCCCCTTTCTGGGGTTACACACTTGAATAACGGCTGTAGGCAACCCTTTCGGAAGAGTTCACCCTTATGCATGACAAAACTTAATGCTCGTCTCTTGAGGGCAGCCGCTTCTAAAGATGCACCCGGCAAAGTGTCGTCTACCAAGTAGTCCCGGATGGTATCCATCCAAGTAGCGCTTCGATCTAGAATTCCAATGGGATCATGTTCAATGCTTTTCTTTTCCATGACTTCCTAGAAGACTGACCTAGGCATATCACAAGTGGCGGATGACGCCAGTTTTGGTAATGCATCCGCCTGATTATTCTCAGACCTGAGTACTTGACTTAAATTGAATTCGTCAAATGCCCCGGCTTCTTCCTTAACCGCCTGAAGATACTTAATCATGACCGGATGGGTGGCTTCATAGTCACCATGGTATTGGTTAACGATGAGTTGAGAATCAAAGCAGACGTCCACCCTCCTTGCCCCGGCTGCCTTACACATGCGGATACCGGCTAGTAGGGCCTCGTACTCTGCTTCATTATTTGAAGCTTGAAACTTGAACAGTAGAGCATACTCGTATTTGTCCCCCTCTGGGGAATGACAAATTACGCCTGCCCCACAACTGTGCATAGTAGAGCTCCCGTCTACGTATACTTTCCAAAATTGATCAGTATTATCTGGCTATACCGGCCTTGTCATTTCAACAATGAAGTCGGAAAAAGCTTGACCCTTCACTGCCCGCCTAGGTTCAAAAGTGATTTCCAGGCTTTGAATCTCCACGGCCCATTTAATCATTCTGTCGGATGACTCTAAAGTGGTGATAGGCCGTTTGAGCGGCTGATCAATATAGATGGTCACCGGATGAACCAGAAAATAAGGTTTCAGCCGCTTGAATTCTTTGTACAAGGCTAGACCAAATTTTTCAATCATGGGATAGCGAAGTTCAGCGTTCCGAAGGACATGGCTTATGAAGTAGACCGGGAGCTGGTTGTCGTCTCTCTCAGCAAGGAGAACGAAACTTAGGGAATGATCTGAGACGGCTAAGTACATATAGAGAGCCTCCTGGGGTAGGGGACTCACTAATCTTAGCAAAGAATGCAAGTGTTGTTTCAGCCTCTGAAATGCCGCCTCAGCCTCTTCACCCCATTCAAATCTTGAACTCTTTTTTATTGCTTGAAAAAACTAGAGGCAGTTGTCTCCTGACCGATTGAGGAATCTTCCCAATGCCGCCAGGCAATCGGTAAGCTTTTGAGCCTCCCTGACGGTATGAGGCAACTGCATGTCAATCATCACCTTTACTTTGTCAGGATTGGCCTTTATGCCTCTCTGGTCAATCAAAAATCCGAGAAACTTCCTAGACTCAACACCAAAGACGCACTTTTTTGGGTTAAGCATGACTTTATGCCGTCTGAGGGTGGTGAAGGTTTCTCGGAGGTCTGCTAGATGATCCGCCTGCAACTTGGACTTGACTATAATGTCATCAATGTATGCCTCTACGTTTCTCCCAATCTGATCATAAAAGACAGAGTTTATCATTCGTTGGAAGGTAGCAGGCGCATTTTTCAACCCAAACGACATCATCGTGTAATAGTATAACCCTTGATCTGTGATGAAATTCGTCTTTTCTTGATCTTTCTTCCACAAGGGTATCTGATGGAAGCCGGAATAGGAATCCATAAAACTCATCAAAGTGTGACCGGCTGTAGAGTCGACCAGGTGGTCGATCTTTGGAAGCGGGTAACTATCTTTCGGACAAGCTTTGTTTAAGTCCGTGTAATCTACACACATCCGTCAGGTACCATTCGGCTTTTTCACAAGGACAACATTGGCTACCAAATCCGGGTAGAAGCATTGCCGAATGAACCCGGCATCTAAGAGTTTCTTGACCTCAGCTGCTGCCGCCTGGGACCTTTCCTCGCCATGGTTCCTTTTCTTTTGCCTGACCGGCTTCTTCTTAGGATCCACAGCGAGTTTATGAATAGCAAGATCCGGACACACTCCCGGTGTTTCTTCTACTTCAAAGGCAAACACATCTCTGAACTCTCTCAGCAATCGGTTCCTAAGTTGTCAAATGCAACCGTACCAACTTAGACGGTTATGTCTGGTCGGCTGTCTTCTAGGACAATGTCAATGATTTCCCCTGCCGGCTGGGGGCGGAGGTCGTCTAACCTCTCCCCTAACAGTGATTGCTATTGTTTTTCTTTGACGGGGGCCAGTAGCTGGTCCGCCTTTCTCTTTTTACTGGCTGCCTTAGTAGCCGGTAACTCTTGATCACACTCGTCAAGTTCAACTACTTCCTTGTCTTGGCCGTCTGTGACCAATGTGGGTTTGACGTCCGAGAGGTAACACTCTCTCGCCGTCTTTTGGTTCCCACTCAAGGAGCCGACTGTGCAATCATCCCTCTCAAATTTAATCAACATTAGAGACGGGATGATCACAGCCTTTGAAACATTAAGGGTTGGGCGGCCAATGATCAGATTGTAGGCCGTCAGTTCCCCTACAACAAGAAACTTGACAACCATGTGTCGGGCTTCCCCTTCTCTCCTAACCGGATGGGTAGGTCAACCATACTCACCGGATGTACTACTCCTCCCCTAAAACCAACAAGAGGATATGGGGCTGGATGCATTGTACTTGGCTTATACTTGAGTTTTTCCAAGTACCGGTAGCTTCTGAGGTCGGATGAGCTCCCGGTATCAATTAAGATCTGGCCAACTCGTTGATTGGCGAATTTACATTCGATGACTATTGGGTCATCGTGGGGCCGCCTGACCTCTCCTCTATCCTTTTCGGAGATATGGACCTCCGGGAATGAATTTTTAATTGACTGGCCTTCATCCACTAAGTTGACCAGCTTCCTAATGTTATCCTTAGTGCCCCGGATGGTAGGCCCGCCACCTGCAAATCCACCGGCCATGGTTAGGATGGTATCCTCATCTGTATCTGATTGATTTGCCGGTGTCTTTGAAGGTGGCCCTTTGGCCTGGTTGGGAGGACCCTTTGATTTAGAAAGATAGGTTTTTAGAGCACCTCATCAGCAAGACGGTCAAAGAGCCGCCTGAGGCAGAAACAGCCCTCAGTATCATGGCCTATTTCTTCATGGAACAGATAATATTTTCTCTTATCCCGACTGCTCACGGGACTCTTCATTGGTGCCGGTTTTTCAAGACTCAGCCGGTTTTTAACTTCCTTTAGAATGGATGCGCAATCCTATGTGAATTCGAATTTTGGAACATACGGATCCGACCTCTTTCTCTTTTGGAATTGTTGTCCAGGTGGCTCTGCCGCCCAGACCTCTTTCCGCTTCTTTTCCTCCCTTTTGGTCGGCTGGGTAGGCCGGCTCTCTCTTTTATCGGATCTTTTGTAATCCGCTGGAAGTTTAACAGCGCAGAGTTCCATTGCTTGGATGTAGGCCTCCGCCTTCATTAATGCCTCGTGAAGAGTAGAGACCCTCTTCCTAACCAAGTCAAACTTAAAAGTTGGCCCGTCTTTTAGGCCTTTGAAGAAGTCAGTATAGGCAACATTATCAGACAACCCCTGGATTTGGATCCTCATCAGGTTAAACCGCTTGACGTATGACCGGAGCCCTTCCTTATCTCCCTGCTGTATTGCCCCCAGATCAAGGCTTGTTTTCTTAGCAGGGATATTCATAGAGAAGTTGGACGTGAACTAGTAGGCCAACGTTTCGAAGTTATTGATGCATCCGGCAGGTAAGTTACCAAACCAACGTTGAGCAATCCCTTTAAACGTTGTCGGGAAGCACCTGCACCATAAGGCATCTCCAAACCCTGCAAATACATCAGGTTGGTGTATGCCATGAGGTGATCTTCCGAGTTGGTGGTACCGTCATAGGCACCAACCAACACATTTTTAATATTTGACGGCTGGGCCATCTCGGTGATTTCCCTAGAGAACGCCGTTGGATGTCCCCCAAGGTTCAGTAGTAGGAGCTGCCAGTCCAAAGGCTGGACATGCGGCTGCTGCTGCCCCCTGAAAAGACTCGGCTGAGAAGAAGGAGATCCAAAAGGCGTGTATGGTGTCCCATGTAATGTCGATTGGATGATATGAGGGCCGGGTCGAGCGGAAACCTCGCTCGTCCGACTATCATTGTTTGTTCTCGAGTGCCTCCCTGATGTGACATGTAAGCTGTCTCGAAAGGTCGACGTTGATGCCGACTCGGAGCGCTGCTGAGTCTTTTTATCCTAAATAAGCGTCCAAGCATCAGAATAGACTTTCTTCGTTCCATCCGGTTGTATGTGCCGGACGGGTTTTCTGGCTCCATCCATGGGAGTGTGAATTTTTGAAAAATCAATGGGCCTATCCGA